TCTCACCGGACCAGGCTCTCACATCACCAAGCGCGAAGGTGAGATATTCGGCGAGGCGCATGAAGGGTGCGCTGCATGCTGCTAAGGGTGTTCGGCATCTTGTGCTTACTTCCTTGCGTACGGATGACAGCTGCGTATGACTTGATTTAATTTCTGGTGCTTTCACTTCCTGAGACCATTGTAAGCACTGTGTAACTGCCTCGAGGGTGCTTGACCATTTTAACACAACGTGGTGCGACCATCCTCCTTGCGCGGAGTGAGGGTTCTCGACCCCGCACGACATGATCTACTCGACCACCATTATGGTTACCGCCAAAAAAAAAACGGAGGTAAAACAAAAAAAACGGAAACCTCGTTGCCGAGTTCACGAAGTGAATTGGCTTGTTTTTCNACCCCGCACAACATGATCTACTCGACCACCATTATGGTTACCGCCAAAAAAAAAACGGAGGTAAAACAAAAAAAACGGAAACCTCGTTGCCGAGTTCACGAAGTGAATTGGCTTGTTTTTCAACGTCGTTGCCGAGCGACGAAAACCCAACCCCGATGGCAAACACCGGGGGGGTGGGGGTGCCGCAAACGGCGGCATTGAAGCCTTGCGATCGAGAGCTCTACGAAAACGTATCGTTTCGTACGTGCATCGTCGTGGTCGTGGAGTAATCGAGCTTTGAAAATGGGTCCAGGGGGTGTGTTATCTTGTGTCGTATACGGTGCGGTAGTTCTTGATACACGCACACGTTCGCCCGTTGTGGGTGATCTCTCGAGCGTAGAGCCACGCTTGTCATGATGGTCTGATATGTATACGGTGGTTTTCAAGATGAGAAAGCAAATTATGCGCTATGTAAGCATTTCACCGCCACCTGATGACTGGTGACCTGCCCCCCAAGAAAATCCACGGTGGTCCTGTTGTCTTATTCTGAATTGCGGAGGCAATTTATGTACAATCATACCATTTCCAAAGGAAGATCCTCGGCGACTGGGCGGCAAGACCCTACTGTAATAATGTACAGTCGACCGCGCTTTAAGGACGCTCGCGTTAAGGAAACTCCCCGCTTACAGGAAAGTTATTTTGCTGAGCACCGGGGGCCCGGTAGAGTATATGATCATGGGGTACCCCCAATTTTTATGCCGCGTACCCCTATTATTTTGTGTCCTGCGGGCCTGCGGGCCGCTCTTTACACGAACCACGCACCACAGTGAGTGCAGAAGTAGCGACGCACAGACAGCAGAAGTAGCGAGCGGTCTGCTGCTGCAGCTGCAATTGCGTGTTGGTATAGATAGATTCCTCCCATCTACCGGGGGTCCATCTGATGCCGCCAAAAAAAGAGTCGTGCAAAACCTCGTCCCTCACCGAGGGCGAGGTTACCTCTCGCTTGGAGGACGTTCGATCCTACAGATAGCGCCCGCAGTTAAGAAATGTCAAAATCGGTTCGAGCCTCACCAATTCCTTCTTTTGGGTCGAAGTACNGGGGGGGGGGGGGACTCTACCCCCTACAAAAAAATGCACTTCTGTTCAGCGTGGGAGGGGGTTGGGAGCACCGCAGATTTCTGATGTCATGAGGGTATCGCACCATCACGTTTCTTACGTTGTGGCCGAGATTTGAGCTATGTTTCTTAGCCCTCATTGCTTATTTTTCGTACAAAGTTGAGCCTTTTTTCTTTCAAAATATTTATTAACTGCGGGCGCTATCTGATTTGTACGCGAAGGGAAGGGGTGGCGAGTACCGTAAGACGCAGTACCTTATTCCGAAGACCGTTCATTCGTTTACTCATTAAACTCAACAGAGCCGTAGAGCCAAGCCGCGGGGGGCGGTTCAAGGAACTCTTCGCGATATATATGTGGAAGGAAAAGCCATCAGGGTAGCTTTTGGTCTCCGCCGGGACAGTGATATGTACTGGTGTTCCTCGGTGCGACGCTGAAATATGCTGTTTTGTTTTTTTTTCACAAGAATGAGATCAATATATTTCTTCTTGGACTTTCCTCCTTCTTCCGCTGCCGGCTTTGCGGTACACTGGTTGGCCAAGTACAAACTGGTGTACTGTAGTTGTTTTCAACTCGTCCCCGACTGCTGTACATCTCATTTGAAGTATTGTAAATATGTTCGACGTCAACAAACGGTTGCCAGTCGTCTCGGTAATGCTGACTTTCCGTATCACCCCCTTCCTTAGCAAAAGACGCATAGTTTGAGGTATAACATGCCTCCACTGGCGCAAGCAACAGAAACCACAGCGCTATGACTTTGTCTGTTGTCATGGATGAAGGTGTTTGTACCGACGCGGAGTGAAGGGTCGTGCCAAAGAAGACAGCTCATGCTGTCTTTTAAGCCTTTTCTTCAATCCTTGTGTGCACGTGTGCAAATAAATGCTGTTGTTCTTTTTCTCATGGCCGTTACAAACCACTTGTACGCTCTTGAATCCGTGCTTTCCTCTAATAATTTTCAAGTAAATAGTATCTCTGGCAGTGCTGTCAATCATCCCGATTTTAATGAACGCAACGCTTCGCCCTCCCATTCGGGGGAACCCGCGGACTGGAATTTTCTTGTTGCGCCTTTTTCGTCGTTAGAACACGACGGCCTGCCTTCTTTTCCTTTGGTCACGGAATTTGTTGGAGAAAAGCCGAAGCTCAGTAAAGAATCACGACCTAACTTCGATCCCAACAAGTTCAGGAGGCGTTTGGTGTGCCCATGTCCGGGGACCGGGGACAACAACCCCGCTACATCATACAACGCCGAAGAAGAACACTTGTGGAATTCCTTGCCGCGCTGTACCCACGATTGAACCACGTCGACGTGCATTGTGCGGTAATCGAGCATTGGGGCCAAGTAAGTAGCGTACGCAGATAAAACAGTGTTCTGGCGGGCATGAGTGTATTTGCCCTCTGTGTGTCGTTATTGTCCGGATCATCCCCGTTTTTGACGCGACTTCGAAACTCATCCCACAACAACGTCTCATTTTTTCGTTTCTTTTCGGTGGCATCAGATGACATGCGGCAATCGTTGGTAGCTGGGACGACGCAGAGCTCTGACAACATAAGTAACGGGCTCGTCAGGAGAGCAAGCGACAGCGGAAGCACCGGCGTCCCCGGCGGTGGTGCCGGCTTTGTCGTGCCGGCTTCGATGGGAAAAGAGTACATGCGGAAGCTGGCCACTCGCAACCTGGTCATCACCCTCACGTGCACCAGCTGCCTGCTGATGCTCTACGGGTGAGGTGGCGGGGGGGGGGGGGGGGGGGGGGGGGGGGG